GTTGGTTGTTACATGTCTTAACTTTTTGAAAATCCACAATAATTTTCTTATGCGGCCAGTTATTAATTCAATATGGTTATACCAAGACAGTCTCTGGTCAATAATAACACCTAAATATTTTGTTTTGTCTAAGCTATCAATAACAGCACAGTCACAATTAAAAAATAGGCTGTCTTGGCAAGTGTGTATTTTAATGCTGAAGTTGGCTGGTGGTTGAGTGTAATTGCAAATAGCAAAACAAATATAATTTGTTTTATGCGTGTTTAATGAGAGTAGGTTGTTACTTAACCAGGCTGCTATAGTTTTAAGTCCCGATTCTGTACGCATTTTCACTTCCTCCCAAGTGTCTCCCGAAAAAGTAACAGCTGTATCGTCAGCATAGGAGAAGATGTGACCGTGAGGAATAGAAAGTTTACACAGCTCATTAATATAGACCAAAAACAGCATAGGCTCTAAGACGCTACCCTGAGGGACGCCGAAAATAACATTTTCTTCGTCACTCAACACAGCGTCCACATGAACACCCTGAGTGCGCTCATGTAGGTAGCTGAACATCAGGTTTAGCGAAGTATCCCCGAAGCCGATAAGCTCCAAAAACTTTAAAAGATCAGGAATAGAGACCGTTTCAAAAGCCTTTCTCAGGTCTAAAAATACTGTAATACACTTTTTGCCATTATCTAAATTCTTTACGATTAAAGAGCTTAATGTGAGAATAGCGTCTTCTGTGGAAAGTTGTTTTCTAAAGCCAAATTGTTGATTTGATAAAATATTATATTTATTTAAGTAGTTTAATATCCTAGTATTTAAGATTTTCTCTACAATTTTGGACAAAGCTGGTAGGACAGAAATAGGGCGGTAGTTATTTATTTCGTCTCTGTTTCCACTTTTATAAACAGGTGTTGTTTAAGTGCGTAAGGAAATATACCACTCGTAAAACAGAGATTTATGAGGTAAGTGAATACGGGCACAAACAAATCCTTACCCAACTTCAAAAACCTGCTTGGAATTTTATCCCACCCGGGAGCGCTATCAGAGTCAAGACTCATCAAAACCCACTCTACTTCAGCATTATATGTTTCGAGCAAAACAAAAAGAGTTTAAGAGTACAGTAGTAGAATTGGATTTAGGAATCGAGCTGTATAGCATCTTAGACTTAATTTCTTCAGCCAGGCAACTACCTATTCCGGAGAAATATTTATTAATATAATTAACTGTATCCTGGGGTGTAGGTTTTATATTTAATAAACACGAATTTGAAACATTCTTTTTTTTTAAATTGTGTAACTTCATTTATATTTTTCCAGAGAACTTTATTATTTTTACAAGATTTGGAAATAACGCTACAATCATGTTTACGTTTTTGTTTTTTAATAAGTTTATTACAAAAATTTCGGTAGCGACGGTAAGTGATATTTAATATATCATTAGTTGGGTCTTGTTTTAGTTTTTTTTGCATAGTATTTTTGTTTCTTATGCATCGAAGTATACCTTCTGTCATCCAGGGCTTGATAAATCTCTTTGTCCCAGGAACAGCTAAAATTTTGGTGTGTTTAACTAATGCAATAGATATTTTATCGATCAATATATTAGTTAGAGTATTTGGGTCTGTACATAAATATAAATCGTCAAAAACGTTTAAATGTAGACTGTTTAAGGCGGCATTAAAGTCAGTTACAGATTTTGTTTTATTAGATTTGCTTAAACTATTGTTGCCCACTAGGCTAAGTAGAGTCATATTGTGGTCTGTTATAGTTGTATCGAAAATTGCGACAAAAGCAGTTGTTCTTTTTTTATCCATTTTTAGAGCACGAAATAGTTAGCTTACACGGCTTCTCTATCCGTTATCTCTAATCCATAGATCTTCAATGTCTGTACGATGGTATATGTTATTTGTACATTTTTATAATTTTAATATACACAAGCTGTGCCAGCAGTATCAACATGTTGAACCCCTACGCATTTTATTTTGTATAATAATAAAAGTTTGTTATGCATCGAATATCATAACCTCTTGTTAATTTGAAATGAAATACAGATGGACTAGAGCAGTGTGGCAGGTAAACTGTTCATTATTTCATTTAAAATTGAAAGAGCAATGAAGCGACGTCCTACGCTGACCAAACCTGTGCTCAACGGAGGAAAGTTTTTGGTTTTGACCACTTTTTTCTACATATATATAATAAGTAGTTTCAAATAACAAAAAAATAATTCACTAATGCAAATGAAATAGATGTTAATGTAACTAAAGGTGTATATTTATAAAATGGTGCTGACAGAAGAATTTTGAATTATTTGAAAAGATAGTTCACATCCTTTTAGTTGTAAATCGTAGAAGAAAATTCTAGTGTAGATACATATAAACAACAATTACACAAGAACAATCCTCCAGACTGGAACAATTACTTTTAGGCCATACGAATACTTGTTCTGTGCGGGATATGAACACATGGCCCTTGTGCGTTTTCTTGTTGCTAAGCCACTGCAACGCAGAGCTCTCAAATTCTGATAATTGAATTAAAAAAATTTAGCTGAGAGAAAAATAAAATTATTCAGATCCGGATCGTATCACTTTGTTATGTAGGATTCGAAAAATTTCATCATCTTGTCAGGATTTTATAAGACATTGCGTAACCTTTCGTTACCATCATTAGAGATAAAATCAAAGATAACACATTAAAATAACGTCGGGATAATAATAAAAATAAATTAAAGTAATTAAACGCGATAAAATCCGTAAATAATAGTTTTATTCAATGTGTAGTGTTCGCGTAAATTTAAGAAATCATTACATTAAAATAAGTTTTGAATCGTTTATCGATTGTCGATTACAGCAAACAACGGTCATACGAATAGATACTTGGTTTGAATCTAAAGAGTATTAAAATTCGCCTAACGCCTTCTTTTCTTTGCAATTTGAATTGCAATATAATTGAATTACAAACAAAATAAGACGCACTTAAAACAAACTACACGAACAATAACCAGGAAAACATAAGCTCGGACATCAACTGACACTTGATAATTGAACATGAAGTTTTTGCTTTACATAAACTAGAAATAGTGGTGTTCTAACGTTTGCTCATGCACTATTTTTGTTTTACCTCACAAAAGTGTGATAGCTATTCATTAGATACATTACATAATAAGAATTATTCAATTGTTAATCAACCAGATATTATTTTATAAATACCATTCATTGTTCATTTCTAACAGGAAAACATAAGTATTTATTACTCCGAAGATGGAAAAGACATTCGCAAATACTGCCAAACGATCCGATAACTTTCCGATGTGAACGGAAGCGGGCTTCCGTGCAGTTGTCAATTAGCCTGTTTGTATAACTAAAGACATTTTGAAAATAATCATGTAATATAGTGGACGATATTGAATTAGTTATCACTGATCGCTATACATTTATAAAATGCATTATATTTCTGTACAGTTACATATTATGGGTAGTATGTACAGTATATAATGTACATAATATGAATTGTATATTATAAAAATATCTAACGACTAAGAACAAAATATCAAGGTTATTTATTTCTAGAAACGGTTTGTTTTCTGCGTAGAAGTCTGTCTGGACCCTCTTACCAATTTATGTCGTTAAAGCGAATTTATTGGCGATTTTATTGACGAATTTATTGGAACCAGATTTATTTCAGACTATAATTGAGTATAATTAAGAAACCAAATGTTCTCACACAAATGTAATATAGCTTATATCAACTAAGCCTACATTAATTTAACTAACAATCTAGTATAAATGCTTTATGAAGTTATTGATTGAGAGGCTTAACATATTATTACGTAAAGAGTTCTGACTTGAAGATTTAGGATATGGCACCTTAATTATATATTGATCATAACACACACACACCTGGAATATTTGAAATTAGGTTCATACGTTTGGTGTGTAAGCATATTATGTAAGTTAAAATAAGCAACCTGAACAAGCTATTAAATAGTTCCTATATTTTCTCTGATTCTATTGTGCGTGAATCCACTTGTTATTCTGACCTAAGTTTAACGATTTAGTTCAGTAGAGTGGGAAACTTTACTTTTTTAAACGTTAACTCGAATTGTTATACCAGGATTTTTCCTGTGTCACGGAGGCAGCTTAAATATATAAATTTCACAAGGACAAACGAACATCCAGAACCAAAGCAATGATTTGTAATCAATGCAAACATTTATTCCGTGCGCTATTCGAACCCGTGCCCTCCAGGGCCGAGGTTTTTCTTATTTTCACTTCCCATTTGGAAGATATCGTTGTTCATCTCCTGTTTCTGTTTCCATCTGTCACCTTGTACGACACACATGAAATTATATGGGATAATGATTCACCTTAGTAAGCCACCACCACAAGGCACTAGTCTTATTTATATATGATAGAGCACCGCTGCATTTATGTTATACTTGAAGCACATATGGCTCGGCACGACCGGGGAAAGACCACGCTGTCACGGAATACCAGCGTAAAATAGCAGCACAATGCTGCTGTGTTTCGTATGGTGAGTGTAGAGAACCAGAGATCCTTTATACTGGATACAAGGAATGCCATCTTAGTTCTCAGGGATGACAAAGTATCTGCATTTTTAATTTTATTCAAGGACAGATGTGGGTGTCTATGGGCGACAGCATCCACTTGCCATCAGGTGGGCATGTACCTGGTCGTCACCTTTTTTCTAAACAAAATGTTCAATAAGAATTGTAATATTTAAAAACTATGTATTTTCGCCAGCTGGTGCATTCTTGAAAGAAAAAATGTCTAGCAGTGGTCTTAAAAAGTCAGCTAATGTGATAAAAGTGAGCAGAATCTGTAAACTACAAAAATAATTTTCATCAAAGAGCGACTGTAAAATGAAAAAAAAAAATTCTTCGAGAAACTTAATACTATGCGAGAGAAGTTTGTCATCTTAGCACGCGCCAGTTTTTTTATAGTTTATTAACCTTCACCTGCCATCTTACAAAGTATCCTTAAAAGTGTAATGTTTCAGTACCGGAGACAAACTTCCGCCTGATCCAGAACAAGACTGCCGATGACACTGTGAACGTCATATGTGCTGCGGCCGGAGCGTTTCCTGCACCAAACCTCACGCTAGCCACACCTGAGAGGTACGTTACTAACTTTTTATTGACCTACAGCAAATACCGTTTGGTGATTCCGAATATAAAGTACACCACCCTCGTCGACACACTCCCAATCTTTACAACGTTGTTAACGAGACACTTGTGGACGATAAATCCGATACCTCCTTGGAACAGATGTTTACCCTCCTGGTGAAAGAACAAGTTGTCAGATTTGAGAATCACCGTGTCCTCCCCCTCCCTTCGGAACTCGGATAATCCTATAATAATCCAGCGCAGCTTGTCGATCTCTTCTTCCAAATCCAGGATCTTTTCGTCAGTCCTCGGGGTGCGCGCGTTGTATATTTCCAGGTCGAGTCGTCTTAGGTGGCAACCAAACCTCTACCGGAGATTCTTAGCACCCCCTGCCCCGACGTTACCATGATCGCCAACGTAGCCGGAAACCACCATGTGGTAGGAAAAACGAGGTTTCCGGGGACTGGGGGCCGTTTATTTGTGTCATTACTCGTGGGGGGGGGGGTTTATTTGAATACTTGCCACGCTTGGCGAGCGGGTTGGCAACAGTTTTTTTTGTACAATTGCTGTTATCATGAAGATGCTGTTGCCCATCTCCCGCCTGCTTCCCTCTGTCGGTTTTACGACACCGTGTACATATTCTTATACCGCGATTCTTGCAAATTAAGATTTATGATTTATGAATTCACAAGGTCGATTTTAAAATTCAAATGTGTGTGTTTGTGTGTGTGTGTGTGTGTGTGTGTGTGTGTGTGTGTGTGTGTGTGTGTGTGTGTGTGTGTGTGTGTGTATGTGTGTGTGTGTGTGTGTGCGTGCGTGCGTGCGTGTGCGTGTGCGTGTGCGTGTGCATGTGCGTGCGTGTGTGTGTGTGTGTGTGTGTGTGTGTATGTCATAGTCATAGTCATAGTCATAGTCTTTATTGCAATCAAATGGTTACATAGATGTTATGTTTAAAAAAAAGTCCGCATTTGAACCCAGTTTGAGCGTAGCAATTATAAAAATATTAATTATTATTTTTAAACTACAATATTAGATTTCATTAATACATTACATTATTATATTATATTATTTTAAAATTCTGTAAAGGACATCATCTTTTTTGGCCCAAATATGAAAGTGCCGGCCAATAAAAAAAATACTCTATTCCGTTAGAACTTGTCCCCCTGAGTATTTATTATTATGACACCAAAGCTGTAGGGTCATTGTCCTTGGTTTTATTGGAGTTCAAATATTCAACATCTTCATACATTTTCAGTGAATTTAATAAACAAAAACAAATGATTTGTTCTACCATATTTTTATTTTGAACATCGTTTAGTGAAATATATTGGTTTTTGACATATTTCTGACAAGATAACATTTAAACCACTAATGTAATATTTGCATAATCGGCTGGGATGCCGGGACTTTTTCCTAGAAAATGGCAATAACAATGGCTGCGCAGGTAAACACTCACGCGAATAATGGAATACGGTGCAGCGAGCAGATGCCCCTCTCTCCCCTCTCTTTCCCGCGAACTACCGCCATCGCGCCAGGCTCATTCGTTTGCTAGCATTCGCGTTTATTGTTTAGTACCGAAAGCAACGCTGCCGTGTATGTCTGTGTGATGCCCACTAGTTCTTGTGCTTTAATTTGTTTTGTTTTTGTTATCTCCGTTGTTAAGTTTGAACATTGCTGCGAGTCATGGCAGAGTTGTGTATCGCGTGCCGTGCATCGACAGAGAATCGGCGAAGATATGATTGGGTTTCAGAGAAATGCAATATCTTGATATCGCCCAAATAGTGATAGAAAATATGGCGGCAGTATAAGTCAAGTTAAGAACAGGTGACCCGAACGCGCGGCTTGTTAATATTTTTAAATGTAGCGAAACAGCGTTTCATACGTGGTTAAAAATCGGACGCAACGCTCTGTTAGAAGATTTTGTGCCCTTAAATGTTGGGTTTGACCATATTTCCCGTGAGGATGTAGCACACAGGAATCTTTTTCTACCCAACAATCTGTTTGGGAACCCATCGAGCCCAGAAGATGAAAGGAAAGCTATCACGATTTGTGATGGCACGTACATCTATCTGCAAAAAAGTGGAAATTATTTTTTCCAACGCAAGTCTTACAGCCATCACAAATACAGAAACCTCTTAAAACCGTTCCTCTTGGTTTCTTGTGATGGACACATTATCGAAGTTAACGGACCATATGCTGCCACCACGTCTGACGCAGATATAATGAATGATATGCTTAATAATGCTGACAGTGCCTTCCACTGGTTTTATAGGAGTGGCGATGTTTTTATTCTGGACCGTGGTTTTCAAGACTCAGCAAAAAAATCTGGAATCTTGCGGATACGTACAACATATGCCTCAAACAAAGTATCCAAATGAGACACAGCTAACCACGGATCCAGACTGGTAACATTCTGTCGTTGGGTGGTTGAAGTAGTCAACGGCAGGTTCAAAAGAGATTTTCGCCTGTTGCGAAATGTATATAATAACAGAGCTCTTCCCAGCATGTTCGACTATTTCAAGATAGCAGCGGCGATGATAAATCGTTTTCATGTTTTGATTGAAGATAATCCAAATGCTGCTGCGATTTTAGAGATTATCCACCAAAGAATTAATATGCAAAATAGATTGGCAAATCTTGTAATACGCCATAACTACAATCGCAGACGTGCTCAGTTTACTTTAATGACTGCAGATATGCCAGAGTTTGTAGATTTTCCAAGAATGGATGAGAACGAATTATTATTATTCGCTCTGGGCGTTTATCAACTAAAACTGGCCAAAAGCTATTACGGTGGGCACGTCCTTGACAATGGAGCATTCACAATTGAGCTCAGCAATGAGTTATCAAATGAAGACTTGGCGGAATTGCAGGGCAATGATTTATGGATGATAAGAGGCCGACTGCAATCGCGGCAAGTTAGAGCAAGACAGTATTATGTCTACATTATAATCGATAGGTCGCTATCAGGCCGACAAGCAATCGCTCACTATTATTGTTCGTGCATCATAGGAAAGCGAACAATTGGATGCTGCTCCCATATTATGTGCATTATATGGTACATGAGCCATGCACGACATTTGCCAGCAATAACCCCTCCAGCATTTGGATTGGAGAACATTATTATTGTACCAGACGATGATGATTTTATAGTGTTTAATTAAACAAAATAACCCCTGTATACATATTTTACTTATAATCCTCAAAAACACAAAACAAGATCAACATGTCCAAAATAGGTCAAGAACCAATATATTTTACTAAACGATGTTCAAAATAAAAATATGGTAGAACAAATCATTTGTTTTTGTTTATTAAATTCACTGAAAATGTATGAAGATGTTGAATATTTGAACTCCAATAAAACCAAGGACAATGACCCTACAGCTCTGGTGTCATAATAATAAATACTCAGGGGGACAAGTTCTAACGGAATACAGCATATTTTTTATTGGCCGGCACTTTCATATTTGGACCAAAAAATGTATGAAATCCCGATGATGTCATTTAATTAAATTCATAATGACAATGTCAAGTAAAAAATAATAATTATTATTATAATTAAAAATAAAATTAAGTAAAAAATAACGATTGAATAACAAAATTAAATTAAATTAGGTAGGCACAGGCCGAAGTTGTCCACATAAATTAAATAATATTTGTATCAAAATATTCATTTAAATTATAGAAAAAATTTTCAATTAAATATAACTTTAAGTTGGATAAAAATAGTGTAGTATTCGTTAAATTTTTTATGCCATTTGGAAGGTTATTGAAAATTTTAACTATCATAAAGTAGGGACTAGAGCTATGCAAAGCAAGAGTAGATTTCGGCAATAGTAGCCTATTCTTATTTGGTCTAATTGAGTATTTGTTTCACTTAATTTGATAAATAGTTTGGGTAGTTTTTTACAAATTTGCATGTTTCCCAAATACGAGTATAAATAGACGTCAAAGTCAAAATTTTAAACTTTTTGAATTGGGGCTTACAACATTCTGGAATTTTTATGTTTGCCAAGATTCTTATTATTTTTTTTTTGCATTATAAATAACTGCTGTGCATCTTTACTATTTCCCCACAACATGACACCGTATGACAGCCACGAAGATGTGTATGCGTAATATGCTGACAGACCGCTGGGGACATCTGTGGTTTTCTTTATTTCTCGTAATACGTAAGTGAATTTTGATAGCCCATTTTTTACTTTATTTATATGGGCTTTCCAGTTTATATGGCAGTCGATTTCCAGGCCTAACAAGTTGAAGTTGAATAAAACTAAATTTACGGATTCTATCGCGTTTATTTATCTGATTTTACTTATTTTTAATTCCTTCCCGACGTTTCAGGTGCTTTACAGCAACCATGGTCACGGGGGGGGGGACTGAGATGTTTGACGTCCCAATGTCATTGTTAGCCCGGCTACCTTCAGTCGAAGTCAAACGTCGGGAATTAAAAATAAGTAAAATCAGTTAAATAAACGCGATAGAATCCGTAAATTTAGTTTTATTCAATGTGTAGTATTCGCGTAAATTTAAGAAATCATTAAGTTGAAGTTGTCAACAGTTCCTATAGGTATATTATTATTAAAAGTAAAAGCTGTAGCGGCGCTGTCGTCGCTGCCACAAGCGAAAACACACCGAAGCCTAAATCGCGCTATCAACATTCCGAATCATAAACAGTATATATAGAATATCTCCGAACTATCACACGGAGTGTAGGCCGCTCCCCGGGCAGAACACCTTGCCCGGCGGGAGATCTCCCCTTTTCCTTCCACGTGGTGACCCCGACGTGATCTGAACACGCAACCAAACAACTTTCGGAAACTTCAAGCTTCATCATCGTCATAAATACCCCACCCATTCGCTCCCGAGCAGATATCGTCTGCAGTCTTTATATCCTGCAAGCCATCTAGCTTCACAAGGTTCATCGCAGCACTGGAATAATAATGCTTCCTGTTCCTTCAAGCTACTTTCTGCGCTATACAGTGTTCGGCACGGCTCTGAGCCTTACTGCTCGCCTCTGCTTCACGGCACTCTCGCAGATTACTTGCCTTCTTCTCGACTCACCGCAGACTACAAGGCAATCTCCTGGCACTTGCACATTCGTCGGCAACAAGGCTGCACTAACGACCTCCAGTCTGAGCAGGGGGGTGATGTAGCGGCACTGTCGTCGCTGCCACAAGCGAAAACACACCGAAGCCTAAATCGCGCTATCAACATTCCGAATCATAAACAGTATATATAGAACATCTCCGAACTATCACACGGAGTGTCGGCCGCTCCCCGGGCAGAACACCTTGCCCGGCGGGAGATCTCCCCTTTTCCTTCCACGGCCACAAAGCGATATTGTGTATAAATGTGTAAGGTATAACGTGTGTATGTGAGCGCGCGCGCGCGTGTGTGTGTGTGTGTTGGCGCGCGCGCGTGTGTGTGTGTGTGTTTGATAAAATTTAAAATATTTTATCAAATGGCAGTTCCTACTGAGGGTATAAAACCTTATAGCTCCGTAACATTTTACATATTACTACATACATATTTAAAAAATATATACATGTTTTATATAAAGGAGGCTGGATGGAGTTTCTTATGAATTGAAACTGGTAAACGGCAGATACTCAGCCGTAGCTTCGGTTACGTTGCTCGACGCTGACTTACCTTCACCTGCGAAGTTTATTTGCACTCTCCGAATACCTTTAGCAAATTACGCAGTAAGGAAAGAAGCAATTTACTATCCGGGTAAGAATTTCTTTTTATTATTTATTCCTACAGTTCCATTATAGAAAAGAATAGAATAGATAATTAAATTGTAAGGAGATTTTATGGGAGCTTAATCGCAAGCATGTCTTATTATTTTTGTACAGGCTTGAAGTCGATTTTTATTAGTCAAAGTGGTGTTATTTTATTTATAAAATATCTGAAATGGGATCTATTCGATGAAACTATGAATTTGCCTTCGAGTTGCCGAAGAGATAATCCTTATGGCAGAAGCTCTGGAGGACCTTTGCGCTATGCTCAATGACTTCAATAGTGCCTCCCAACGCTTGTATCTGTTAGTCCGTCTTAAGATGAACATGGGCAAAACAAAGATCATGTTTAATGTCCCTCTTACACCTATGCCGGTAGTTGTTGGGAGCATTCAACTCGAAGTTATTGACGAGTACGTTTACCTGGGACAAATAGTCCGACTAGGTAAGTCCAACTTCGACCGAGAGGCCAATCGACGGCTTCAACCCGGCTAGACAGCGGTCGGAAAATTACGTTACATCTTCTCTTTAGATAGACCTCAAAACCTGAAAACGAAATTGTACACCAAGTGCGTGTTGCGTGTTGTGTGGGAAAAAAGGTTCTCGAGTGGCAGCCTCGTACCGGTAGGCGAAGTGTAGGGCGACCCCCCACTAGATGGAGTGACGACCTGAAAAGACATGCAGGAAGTCGATGGATGCAGTTGGCTCAGGACCATGCTTTGTGACATACCTAGGGGGAGGCCTATGTTCAGCAGTGGACGTGTGAAGGGCTGTAATGATAATGATGAAGATGATCATGATGAATTCGCCAGGTAGTAGAGATCACTCCATATCCGTACCGTCGGCGCGGTAAGAGACAACTTTAGGAAACGCGAGAAAAATCTTATGATTAAGGCAAAGGAGGATTTGCTTTAATCATAAGATTTTTATCATAAGACAACGGGAGAATTCTATGCCTAACAGTAAATTTAGGAGCAAATAAAAAATAAAAATAACGAAACAAGTGTGTCGGCGCCTTGACTTACCACCGTCATTGACTACTTTCGTTAAAACTTCCCAAAAACGTTGCAATGTGCAACTTCAACATTTGGTAAAGGATGGCCGCTAAATTTAGCGGTCATCCACCGCTACTACTGAGTCTACTTCACCTGATGATGCCTTGTGTAGAGACGAAACACGTGTCGTATCGTCGAGGGTGGTGTGTCATTCCTAGTATGGTGGTGTTAGGAGTTGTGGTGCTGGGAGTGGTGGTGCTGAGATAGCTGAAGACGGGCATAGTGCAGAAACAAGTAAATTGAGTTCTAACGACTTCGATTTATTGGATTTCCGCAAAGTAAATCAAATTGTAAAATTTTTTGGATTGGCCCTGGCAAAATTGATAATCTTAGAAGTACAAACGGAAGAGAAAAAAATATTTTATTTATAAATACAACACAAAGATAAAGAGATAAAAAATAACAAATTAATAAACGTCTGTACATATAAAATAATAACTCTAACCCGAGTAGGGTTAGAGCTATTACTTTATATATGTGTCATTAAATGTTCCCAACTCAGCATTTTATCGCATTTTATACACAATGTGTTTTCAGTTAGTACCCCGTCGCGTGACATCCTTTATATAATTATAGAAATTATATAGAAAAACGTGTAATCAACTGTAATTTAAAAATGATAAGTGAAAAAATATTGAATAAAAAATATATTTGTAAATATGGTGTGTAACTCCGTTTAATACGTAAATAAATATAATTATTCTTTTTATTAAAATTGAAATACACTGAATTTAGTAGGATTTTATAAAGCAAACAATCTCGGAAACCTTGCTAACATTATTTTGTGTTCTTTTAATATGACATGGAATTTGTTAGAGCGCTGGCTGGATTAAATCTAACGACATAAACAGAAAGCTGTTTATTTATTTAAAACAAACTATTTAAGCGCTTAAGTAAGTCGGGCGTCATTTAAACAGGGTAGCGGTGAAAATAATAAGGCTAGGTTATATACATTTTTTGTGGAAGACTCTAAAATAACAATTTTACAGAATAATTTGCGATGGCCATTTAAACTTTTTATCAACGGAAGGTTCGGGTACACAGCTATCTAAAGTGTAGGAGAGATGAAACATTTCCTGCGGCATTTGCTGTGAATAATTTTATGCGCCGTTAACTCCATTTCTTGTGGGATAAAAACTCTCTAATAGAAAATTAGTGGGCAAGGGAAAATACAAACACTTTTTTAAAGCATCCGCATTTGGTCATAATGAAAGGTTAACACGGAGGCAAGTCGAGCGGGATTTCATCAGAAAATAATTCGCCCTAATTTTTAATTTCAGGAGGTTCAGATTTCAGAATACAAATAACGTTTTTTTAGGTGCTAAAATATTAAAATAGTCCTTTGTAAGTATTCTCATACGATTTATGACATTGGAAATTTATGAAACGTGTTAGTTATACGAGCAATTATTATATATTTTTTTCTGCCAACTAACTGCTGAGCAGTTTGGCAGACTGTAAAACTGTAACTGTTTGAATTATTGTGTTAAATTAATATACAAATCTAAATTGCAAATGCGTGTTTAAATATTAAAAAGTTTTCCCTTTAATACATGTTTGAAAAAAATTAAGGACGTCTAATAAAATTTACCCTAAAATGGCTGAAAAGGAACCAGGGTCGGGATAGAGAGGTCGTTTGATCCGGCTGGTTCAGCAGCGGATTTCCCAACCTCCTATGACACCTACGTTGGGTTCGGGAACAACGTATGTGAACCCCGTAACGGTGTAACACACAAGGGCGTCGACCTCTTCCTTTTCTTCAAATAGGTTCAGGCGGGGATTACAGGTCTTCCGAAGTCGTCCCGGTCCCAACACCTTAATTCTTCAATATGTGCCGCAATAGCGACACAGTGGACTGTATTTTACTTTTTAAAGGATTCCTTGGGAATAAAACAGTAATTATCTTCAAACCGTTCCGTGAGAGAGTAATTACTTTCCCTATCACTTCCCTATGCACTTTTTCTTTCTTGATTATTATATATACTGCTGGTCCTGAACTGTCCCGAACTATCCCGACGTTTCCCGAACGATTTGTAAGAAAACTCGTTTACTGAGCTACCACAAAACTATACGCGAGAGAGAGCCGCGCCCTCTGTGCGATTACACCACTTAATTACATCAATTTGTACTATCACTCTCTCACGGTTTGCTCAATATCTTTTATTTGTCTTTATTTGTATAAGACATACATTTATACATTTTATTTATAAAGATAGCACAAAATAATATCTATACTATGATATACATTACATTTTTATATCACAAAAAACCTTTTATTTATTCAACAAAATATGCCTATTTTACAACATATGCACCAAGTTAGAATTCTTAAATATCTAACATATAAGGTTGAAACAATAAATACTTGAAAATATAAATATCTTAACTAATACAATAGTTTAATTTACATTTTTCCTATACATTTACCATTTAAAACACTTAAATTTCTTACACAAAACTATCAATATTTCACTAATCCAAAAGAATTTTCACATGAAAATAACACAGAATTCACCTATTTTGCTCATACAGTCAATCTGAAATATTTTACAAGTCAATTTTACATAAATTGCTGAAATTTGCAAATATTTAAATTTCTACTTATTTTGACCTCCTAAGTAACCGTGCGGCTATGAACTCACGCTATTTGAGCAAATTTTGCTCACACGGCTATCAACCAATACTAGGTGAACAACTGATTCTACACGACTCCCAAATTGTAGGAAATTATTTCTAACTAGACTCTTATCAGTTATCACGTCTCTTATCAGATAACATAGACAAAACATTTCATGAATTAAACATTGAAAATGAACATTTTGTTTTTATACAAAACGTATCAAACTCATATAAGATAATACTTATGCAATTGATCTCCATTAATTCTATTTATTCACAAAGTGATCATTTCGATCGGGGAACAAATCCTGGTATCTAACTTTATTTTAATATTCCTTTAAATTAAAATTATTGGAAAGGTGATTTCAACCGGGGAACTGAACCCGGAAACATAATTTATATCTTAAAAATTCCCTATATGCATTTATTAAGAAAATATTACTAAGAAAACGACAAACTAGTCCGGCCTGGGAATCGAACCCAAGACATTCCAATCATTAATTCGATATTTCTTTAAGATTCAACTGTGTTTTCTTATTAGAATATTATTGCTCGATAATTTGTTTTTAGAAGCTGTTCGTAATCGGTTAACTAATAAATTGAAATATTCTTATAGACGCGTCGCCAACAATGGCTGATGATATATGCTTTGTAGACTTAAATATATAAGTTGAGTTCTTTTGTCATCTCCAAATGACAGATAATATAATGATAATATTTATAATGGAAAGTTTTCATTCACTTGGTACGCCTCATCGCTGGTCGCAGGTGGCAGGTGGTCCATCTTGATGCTCGTTGTCAGATTTCACACAATTATTTTGGATATATTTTATTTATAAGACATGAAGGCTTACCCACGATGTTTTCCTTCATCGCCGAGCACGTTGCAAACAACACTTTAAATTGCAATTAACAGTTTTATTGGTCTTGGTGAGAATCGAACCTGGATTGCTCGTGTAATGTTATATTTACAGTGAGCGCTTGGTCTGTGAGCTACGTCGGATTAGATATGAATCTTTATAAGTAATAAAAGCTATTAAAAACACAAAAGAAAGAAAACCAATATAGGAAAACCAACATTATCCCTTATAATTTCTTTATTTTATAAGCACGTGTTTCTTCCATTAGGACCCATTAGCACAACTTCAGAAATGCCGACCGCGGCTGACATGCAACTCGCTGCGGCTATTGGCTCTAAAGGTGAGAAATCTCCTATAAGAGTAAGCGTAAACTTAGGCATTTAATATAAGAGAATTCCAACCCTCAGAACGCTCTTCAGTGAGACCTAATCCTAAGGCCTCAGCTTATGTGGTTCGAACTTACAGTCGACATACGAGTAATAGTAACTGGTACTACAGCCCATGGTTATCGACCGACCGACTTTTGTTTAAAGAACTTTATTTCTCATTAAAACTATTGTCACTTAAGATATTATAGTTTTAACTCAAGTGCGTGCGGGTAGTAAAAAATATATCGGTCGATCAACCAAGAAGCGAACTCATTGCGTTCTAGTGTTCAGTTAATTTTAATGCATAGTTTCATCATTATAAATATACTGATTGGATCACAGGTGCTTTGTTAGTTTGTTACCCCCGAAGGCTAAGATAAAATGTCTTGCAGCCTGCAACCATGCTGGTTTTTTAACCGGAACATAGAAATGGGTTTTGTATAATTTAATAAAATTTTAGTATTTTTTACAAAATTTAAGTGACAAAAATAGTTTTACAATCCACTTGATGGTAAATGGCTATTGCTGCCATAAGACGCATGCAACGAGCTTTATTAATGAAAGAAGTCCACACATGCGGTACCTCACTATTAAGATAGAATGCTTTATAGCGTTTATTCCGGCTATTAGCACCCTGCACGCTATTATGTACGTACTGCTGTTTAGTGTCACACTAAGCACACAACAGTTATACCACCTAGAATGTCAGAAATTGTGTTGTCAGAAATTGGAAAGACACAGGCCCAGTAGTACAAATTTATCTATAAAAATGTTCGCTGTTACTTTTTTATGTTTTCATCACTACATTTATTTATATTTATTTCTAGTTATCAAAGTAATTTTATAATCTAAAGAGTAGAAGCAGGTATATTAATTGTTATCTGAAGTAGGTGTTAAGACGATTGAGATCCTCCAATACTTTTTTTACGAAATAAGGGTTACAAACGAACACACAGTCCACCTGATGGTCCTGATACATCGATTAAGAATCAAAATGCAGATAAGTTATCACCAAGAGAGGATATAGATGGAATACCTCTCTTTCAATAAAAACAGTCTCTTTTTCTAAACTTACCCTGGGAAATACAGCAGTATTATTTTGCTATTTTACACTAGTAGACTATAAGAGCGTGGTTCTTATCAAGTGGAACCCATTCGTGCTACAACTATAATAAAACTGAAGCGTGGCTCTACCACGTAAGAAATGACGTAAATATTGTAAACTTTATAGTAAATTTGTAGGTTACTGTTGCTTAGAAAAGTTTGAAACTAACGAGTTAAACCAGCACTTATGATTATTTTCAGGAACAAGCACGTGCACAGTTACAGCATTGGTTTTGCTACCAGCTTTAGCTCAGTCATTACTGGCAGTCAAATGAAAACATTATAGGAAATCGTTCAAGGTAAGCAAAGTAGTTTGCTTCTTGCGATCTCATCCATCCACAGGTCTGGAATAAATCGCTTTTAGCGATAAGACCGCCCATTATGATACTATTTTTCGTTCATGTATTGTTCTGGTGTACAATAAAAAGTTATCTATCCATCTAAATTCTTCAAAACTATATGAGGTTTTATATTGTTTATTATAAATTAACAGCAAATACTATCAATCGCTTTTATATCTATCAATGTCAGAACGATAACCAAAAACGTATGATAAATGACTGCTCCAACACAGATGACTAAATCAGAACTACGAGTATTTGAAAGATTATAAGCCAATGCGTGACCACTGCACCACCCGATAGTAAGTGATGGGACGGTGCTACTGCAGACCATGGACACCTGCAGCCAACTTCAAACAAAGCAGGTCACCTCCAAGCTCTAACATTAAATACCTCAGAGACTGTAATTCTTCGATCAATTATATACGCTGATTGCCCTTTTATTGGTCCGTGAATCTGAAAGTCATAATCCACTTACTTAAATGATTCGAACATACTCTCAAATTTTTGAATGGGTTGTATATATAGTTTTTCTCCTTTCTTTCGTGACAATAGATACTCATTCTGCACGGCGAAATGGGTCCCTAGAAAATTTACAAACAAAAATATATAAGTATATATTAAATAATAATACTACTCCATGCATGTTTGTTCAAGAACAGTCGATGTTTGTTACAATAGTTGTTGCGTTGTAGCAAACATTGGCCAAACAATCATAATATTAGCTAATTGAATAATTTTTGCTATTTAATTCTGTTTTTATTTTATAAAAAACACTTAATGATATAAACTTACCGAAAGAAAGATATTCCTTCCGAATTCTTGGTGTTACGGTGGTTATTTGCACAGTTTTTGAACGTCCGCACTGGGGGAATTAGACGGTTTAACGTTGGCTATGATTTGACTATACTAATTTCAAATAAGACCACAGAAGTGTTTGTGGTCTTATTTTTCTGGCAGTTTGTGAAGCGCTCATCGGGAATCTAGTACATTATTGATCGAAGCTGTAATTATACCGGCTCTCTATACCTACTCTGCAGGTCGGGACACAACAGTGCAAGCGCCGCTTAGTTTGTAACTTCTTACGTTTTTTTAACTTAGTAAAGATCATTATTATAATTTTTATTTACTATTAATGCTGTAAATTAATGCTGTATATTATTACAGGAAAGCATATAATACTTAAGTTAGGAGGGGTTCAAGACAGTAGTCAAATTGTGGATTTGAGCTCACGAGCTTTTAATCCGCGATCCGTGCCCTACCATTATTCTACTGTAGCTTAATAATTATTCCAAATATTGTAATAAAAGGTTTTTTTATAAGAAAAGGTGTCATAAACAAGCATAAAGTCCCACTATTGATAACTTGATACTGTGGCCCATAGACTTGTACATTTATCTTCTATTACAATTCAAAATACTGAATGCCCCTTATTGTAAAAAGTCCCTGCGGTTATCTACACTCCCCATTCGAAATACAGCAGCTCTTTCGCACTAGTATTCTGTGAATATCTCTAATGTGTGTTTAAAGTAAATGTCACAAAAGAAAAATAAAACATATTTTGTTACAGGCTTCACGCTGAATATGTACGCACCGGGTGACATTCCAAGTGTTACAACTGTACGTCTAGTCATATTGTCCAAAGTCGCACCTTGAAACTGAATATAATTGCAGAGAACTTTAGTGAAATAACGCATTTTGAAAATTGGCTTTTTGTGTGTTACAAATTAACGTAAGGTTTAAAATATTATAGTTATTTAAATGTTCGACTCTATGATAAGAATTGACATATGTATTTCAGAATATTTTTCGTACATTGAAATTAATTATAGATGATATTGTAAATATCGCCCTATATTTCATATGATATGTTGTGAAAGTAGAAAAAAAATTGCAAATTTTTGCCAAAGGTTGATTATTTTTAAATAGACACAAAAGTGTTCGAATTAAGTGATATATAAAATATTTTAATTATATTTTTGAGGTTTTTAGTAGTAAATGTCACTCATCACTATCATCATCATCATTAGTCCTTCACAAGTCCACTGCTGAACATGGGCCTCCCCCCAAGTAATGCCACAAAGCACGGTCCTGAGCCACCTGCATCCATCGATTTCCTGCATGTCTTACCAGGTCGTCACTCCATCTAGTGGGGGGTCGCCCTACACTACGCCTACCAGTACAAGGCTGCCACTCGAGAACCTTTCTTCCCCATCGGTTATCGGTTCTTCGAGCTGTTTGGCCGGCCCATTGCCACTTCAGCTTACTGATCGGTTGGTATGTCGGTTGTCCATGTGGGTCATTCTGGTTTCACTGCGGATATCCTGATTTCTGAGTCTATCACGCAGAGAAACTCCAAGCATAGCCCTCTCCATAGCTCGCTGAGCGACCTTGAGCGTCCTCATACGGCCAGCAGAGAAGGACCACGTTTCAGATCCGTAAGTAATCACTGGCAGCACGCACTGGTTGTACGTTCTAGCTTTCAGAGTTTGAGGTATACCTGACGAGAAGATGTGTCGTAATTTCCCGAACGCTGCTCAGCCGAGTTGAATCCGTCGATTGACGTCTCGGTCGAAGTTGGACTTACCTAGTCGGACTATTTGTCCCAGGTAAACGTACTCGTCAACAATTTCGAGCATAGTGCTCCCTAGTAAATGTCACTATTGTTGCTAAATTGTTTTCAAACAAAAATATAATGTATTTATAAAATTATTGCATGTCACCAAATAGAATATGATTTTTAAATTATATTTATTATGAATAATTAATAATTTATTTTATTTAAATTAAATATTTACAAAACAAACTATTTGCAGACTACATGTTTGCATTATGTATGTTTATAAGAAAAAAGTTTATTAACGATATACGTATAGGTTGTACAAAGTCGAATGAATATCTTTCATGATTTGAAGAAGGGAAAATCCCTTTAACAGGGTAAAACATTTTCTTTTCATTAATTATGCTCATAACGGTTATATATTAACTGATTGACAATATTATATAATCGTAAATGTAAATTAAGAATCCACTCACCCTTATTTCGTGATCCTTGATAAAAATTGTAATATAGCTGTTAGCACAAACACTCAATCAACATTTGTTTAATTGTTATAAAATAACGCTTTTTTGCATAGGTAACAAAAGATTAACAAATGTAACAAATAATATATTCGTAAATAAGAGCTCATGTAAATATTTGTATGGAATTTGTATGAAGTAAGCTGTAAATTTTCTTTATGTGTAAAATGAAGTTATGATGCATCTGCTGTGCATATTGTCGTTTATGGATACGATCCAATAAAGACTTTATTGTAAATAATTATGGACATCAATAAAACAGACGTTGTGTAATTTATTAGTTTATTTTTGTCGCTATTATTTTGCTTATAGTAATATAAAAAGTGACAAATATAGTGGCATCAGATGACATAGGGAAACAAATCAGGATATGGGCAGCAGCGTTTTCTTAATAACGACTAAAATAAAAAGCTGCGATTGATGCGCTAAGGCAATCTTAGGGGTAAATACACCCATTTTGTTAAAACACTTAAAACAAGGGGTTAGTAAATTAACTGAAATTATTATTTACCTTTTTATGACTGCAGCACCAATGCGTGGTCTCGACCAAAGATCGTGATATTTCGAAGAACCAGCGTCAAAAGCAGCAATATATTGCTGTGTTTCGTATATAACAAGGAATTCCCTCTGAATTTTCAGGGGTGACAATAAATCTGCATTTTGATTCCTTATCAATGATATATGAAGGTATATAGAGACCTAGGCATCCATTCACTTACCATCAGGTGGGCTGTGTGTTCGTTTGTGGGTGACCTTACATGTATAAACAACTAACTGCACAATCATATTTCCTAATCCTATAGAAATATTATACAATACAGGAAAGCAATATCAGTACAGGGTAGCCAAACCTAAAACAAATAATTTATAAGTCCGGAAATATTGACTTTGGTGAGGCTTCGACCCAACTTTCCGTGATTCAAAAAGATTATTAGTAAATAACTTGTTTTGTATAGAATAAGGGAGAAAAACGAGCACAAAGTGCACCAGTCTATGATAAGTGGATGCTGTTGCCCATAGACATCTACATTTATCCTCTATTAAGAATCAAAAGACAGGCAGGAGATGGGCAGCAGCATCTTCCTGATAACAACTGTGACGTAATAAAAAACTGCGGTTGCCAACCCGCTCGCCAAGCGTGGCAACTATGGCAAATACCCCCCAATGAATAAATACACAAACAGACGGCCCCCAGTCCCCGGCGGCCCCGCTATTCCTGGCTACGGTGGCGACCATGGTAACGGCGGGGCAGGGGGTGCTAAGAATCTCCGGTGGAGGTTCGGTTGCCACCTACGACGACTCGACCTGGCAACATATAACGCACGCACCCTGAGGACTGACGAGAAGATACTAGAGCTGGAAGAAGAGGTAGACAAGTTGCGCTGGCATATTATTGGATTATCCGAGGTCCGAAGAGAGGGGGAGGACACAGCAATCCTCGAGTCCGGCAACTTGTTCTATCACCGGGAGGGCGATCATCTGTCCCAAGGAGGTGTCGGATTTATCGTCCACAAGTCTCTCGTCAACAACGTTGTAAAGATTGGGAGTGTGTCGACGAGGGTCGCGTACCTGATACTCAGAATCACCAAACGGTATTCGCTGAAGGTCATTCAGGTTTACGCACCAACCTCGGCACATCCCGATGAGGAGGTGGAGGAAATGTATGAGGATATTTCCAGAGCCATACATTCCTCCAAAACCCACTACACGGTGTTGATGGGAGACTTCAACGCAAAACTAGGCACAAGAGAAAGCGGTGAGCTGAAGGTAGGGAAATTTGGAGTAGGGCAACGGAACCGAAGGGGCCAGCAGCTGGCCGACTTTATGGAGAAAGAGGGACTCTTCATGATGAA